TCTCCCGTAACACATTGATTGTAGTTATGTAGATAAATTGACTGCGGTGTGACTTTGTGAGATAAATCTGTAATTGAATCTCCTTTTATTTCTTTTATGCGGTCTGTATTATCCTATGGTGGTCTTCGGGAGTATACATGAATATTACTGATATAGGATGTCATTGCTCCTTGCAGTGAGTGCAGGATCGCTTGGTGAACTTTTTAGTTCATTTCTCACAACCCGAAGGCAACATAATAAATATTTATCAGCTGCCCCAGCTCCATCTCCAGTGTCACTAGGTATCGATGATGTTCACTATATTTGACCTCTAGTAGAATCATATTGGTGTGTTTCTGATAATCTGATACGCAATTATATCTTAGGCCCCGTTACTAGTCGTACTGATATTATGCGTAGGCATCGCCATCATCGGCATAAAACTAGAGTTTATGCGGTTTCTCCCTCTACTTCCACTAATCCAGGTAAATTTTTTGGTCAACGATCTATTTTCCCCTCTTAACTATCCTCTGATGTTTATGTTCAATGATTTTTAGTGGTCCAGTTTTCTTATATGTTGGTGTAAAGAAATGAACCATTTAATATCCGTTCATGAAACATTTCATCAATGTGAAATATTTTTTTGATGCATATGCATAATGAACCCATTTAATGGCACTTTGTCTGATGGGAATTAATTACTATAAACTCAACTATAAAGATAACCTTAACATGTGAATAAATAACATGATTTAATGTAAAGTTGCTGCTCTTCTTTATCACGACAGCATGGTTTTGATGCTATAAGAGGCAAGCTCTTAAATACGCAACTTAAACCTATTAGATCCTACAAGATCTATTTTATTATTTTCTAAAACCAGCTTATGTAGTTCTAATGATTCCTTAGCCATTGGTTCCGAAAGTTATCTACTCGATCTGTTTCATGTCTCTAGACATGCTGAGAGATTCCATGGATTTTGGAAAGGCCTAGTAGTATTTGATCAATTGGATTTGGTCCTATACTTTTTTTATTTAATTTTAATTTTTGACTGAGCAGCCTTAACACCGTGTTATTTCACTTGTTTTCTTTTAAGAAAGTTTATTTGAATGGTCAATAGTTAAGATTGATGCATGCTAGTTATTAGTACCTTCATCAGTGCTTTTCCTGTCTTGGTGAGTGGTGACAGTCTAGTATTGTCATGCCATAGAATATTATAGTGTTCAAATTTCAAGATTTTTTTAAGTATAAAAATGATGAAAGAAAGCTATGTTACCCGGGCTCTTTTATTTAGGAAGAATACCCGTGTCATGTTGTGTCGACACTGGTGTGGGTATGAGTGTCGGGTGTGGCATTTGAACCTAAAATATTCAAGATTTCTAAACTATTGACGAGTCGGACGCTCATATCTCCACACCCGATATGCCACCCATATCCGAGTCCAGGTAGCATAGAAAGAAAGAGCTACTGACCAGGAGACCTCTAAAAACAGACTCCAGCATGGGTTCATGCTAGTACTCAAAGTACAAGAACATGGTCCATAAAAAGAAGTTAATCTTTAAACATGTAACTTGAACACTGAAGGACAGAAAAATCTCATGGTCAAAGTGAAAATTTAGAAACTCCACATCAACAGTTTATTTGATGGTTGTTGATTATTGTTCTTCCTGTAGTGGGATTGTGATCCAAAGGTCATGCCTGCTAAATCTTAAAACTTGATTCTTAGTTGCTTTTCAGGTTGTCCCTTGGTATAGTTATGTGACCTAGTTTAGGTATCTGACCTTCAAGAGACTCAACAATGTTTTGGTTGTTACAATAAGTTTCTCCATGTGTGACAGTCAGTTTCTGCTGAACATATCAATGACATATGCAAATAACAAATCTTCACCTTTCTGCCCTTAACTTCCTGATCATTATGTTTACTTTCCGTTCACTGTGTGGAGAGGTGTTTGATAAAAGAATTTGGCAGGTTGTAATCAAATTTGCACCGAGCCACTAACTTCAGTCCCATTTGGTTCACCTTGTATGTGTGTGATCCCGATGAGAGTCAGACTTCTTTTGGGGGTACCCCTCTATGCTATTTTCCCAGAGGTTACTGAATTAGAGATTGAGGTTGCAGCAGGGACATATCTTAAACAAAGTCAAGTAGCAATCATTGGAGCTAATGCAGATACTCAAAACCAGGAAAGAGCAGTGGTTGATATATATTTAATTCCTCTTGGGGAGAAGTTTGATAATACAACTGCTATGCTGACTTATGAAAGATTTTTATATAAGAATGTGCCCCTCAATAAGACCCTTTTTGGCGATTATGATGTAATGAACATTTCGTATCCAGGTACATTTATATTGCTATTAAAATATTATCTCTATCTGGTTTCTCAAATACTGAAAGTAGTTTCTGCAGGACTCCCTTCTTCACCCCCATTCGGTGAGGGTCCTCATGGAAGTGCTGGAAATCAACAGTACCCTGTTACTGCAGACTTTGTTGGAAGTAATCAGAAGATAAACCCTCGACTAATTATCGTCATGGTGTTGTCTACATTTGTGCTCTTGGTGGTTGCTTGTGCTGCTCTAGCTGTGCTATTAAAGTGCAGGACTGCACGCCGACCATCTAATGTTGTCGGTCCAGTATTTACTTCTACGAAAAAAAAATCAGGTATGCCTACAGGCTTTGTTTGTACTTTTTTCTCTAGAAGATAAGTAGTTCATCTGTATCTGGATCTTTTCTTCTCTCATATAAAAAATCTCTTCTGAAAACTTCTATTAAAGCTTAGACTGCTCTTTTATGTCATTTTTGTGTCTTATTTTATTTTATATTATGTCCTTTTGTGGTGTCACAGGATTAGGTTCTATGCGATCGAGTAGCCCAACCAACTCGACATCAACTTCCCTCATATCTGCCATGCCTGCCTCCATTCTTTCTGTGAAGACATTTTCGCTGACGGAACTTGAGAAGGCCACAGAAAATTTCAGCCAGAATAAGGTTTTGGGCCAAGGAGGATTTGGGCAAGTCTATCATGGGCTGATGCCAGATGGGACCGAGGTGGCCGTCAAATTACTGGCAAGGGACAACCAAAATGGAGATCGTGAATTCATTGCTGAGATCGAGATGCTGAGCCGGCTGCATCATCGTAATCTCGTGAAGCTCATCGGCATATGCATTGAGCAAAGGACACGCTGCTTGGTCTACGAGCTAGTCCCAAACGGCAGTGTCGAGTCCCACTTGCACGGTATGCATGTGTGTGTTGTCCTATTAAATTTTCTATGTTGCAAAATCTGCATGGAATTTCCAGATTTAAAATGTGTTGGCTGATGTCATCAGGTGATGACAGAAGCAAGGGGCCTCTGGATTGGGACGCACGTCTAAAAATTGCACTTGGTGCGGCGAGAGGATTGGCTTACCTTCACGAGGACTCCAATCCTCGTGTCATTCACAGAGACTTTAAAGCTAGTAATGTATTACTTGAAGACGACTTTACCCCTAAAGTTTCTGATTTTGGTCTGGCACGAGAAGCTACGGAGGGGAGTCATCACATATCTACTCGGGTTATGGGCACTTTCGGGTACTTTTGTTTTTCTTTTTTTATCCCTAAAGATTTCATCATTCTCGTGTTGCATTATTCTATATGAGACCATCTTACCAAAGTTCAGACCTATACAGAAGTTATATATATATGTGAATTAAAGAGATAAAAGGTAGCTAAAGAGATAAAATCAATTGCTAAAAGAAAATTAGGGGTTTCTAGAGGTAGCAAGTGCACTAAAGATTCGTGGTGGTGGAATCAAGATATTCAAGGAAAGGTTAAGGAGAAAAAGAAGTGTTACAAATCATTATACCAGCGATGAAAACATAGAAAAATATAAAAATGCTAAAAAAGAAGTGAAAAAGTTGATAAGTGAAGCAAAGATAAAAGCCTTCGAAAACTTTTGTAAGAGATTAGATTCTAAGGAGGGAGAAAATGGCATCTATAAAATTGCAAAGCAAAGGGAAAAGATTACAAAGGACTTGATGGAAATTAAATAAATAAAAGATGAAAATGGAGAGGTATTAGTTGATGAAATAATAAAGGATCGGTGGAAAGATTATTTCATAAACTATTTAATGAAGTAGATAATAAGGAAATTTTGCTAGGAGAATTAGAGTGCGAACTATAAAAGTTTCACATACTATAGAAAATTCAAACCAAAGAAGTAGAGGAAAGTGTGAACTATAAAAGTTTCACATGCTAGGAGATTATTGACTTACGAACTTGTTTAACATAATCATGAAAAGTAAGAAAATGCCCGACCATTAAAGAAAAAGACAAAAGTACATTAATATCTTTGTTTAAAAATGAAAGAGATACACAAAATTGTGCAAACTACAGGGGTATGAAACTAATGTGTCAAACAATGAAATTATGGGAAAGAGTAATAGAAATTAGACTAAAGCAAGAAACAAACATAATAGAAAACCAATTTGGCTTTATGTCGGGTAGATCAACGACGGAAGCTATTCATGTAATCAGGAGACTTTGTGAAAAAAAATTGCATGTGGTCTTTATTGACTTTAAAAAAGCATTTCTGGTGGCCCCCGCTTCTGCCTCTATCAGGCGGCGACAGAACCCACCTCCAAAGCCACAGTATGGTGTGGAAAATGTTAGAAAATAGGGGGGTGCGAGTTGGTTATATAGAAACCATAAGGATATGTATAATAATGGGAAAACTTGTGTTAGGACACCGGTAGGGATATCGGGTGAATTTTCTATCACTATTGGTTTGCACCAAAGTTCGCCGTTGAGTCCGTATTTCTTTGCATTAGTAATTGATGAACTTACGAAACATTTGCGGATGTTGTTTGTGGATGACATAGTGTTAACAGATGAGACGAGAGTGAGGATAAATGCTAAGTTAGAAACATAGAGAGAGACGCTCGACTTTAAGGGCTTCAAAATAAGTAGGGCCAAAGCGGAATATACGGAGTGCCATATTAGTAATCAAAGGAGTAATAATGGGGTAAAAGTTAAAATTAGAGAACACGAATTAAACACATCCAAATGTTTTAAATATTTAGGATCCATATGGCAACATAGATAAAGATGTAATCATGTAACACAATTCAATCGAGATGGAACAAGTGGAGGAACACGTCATCCATACTTTGTGATCATAAAATACTAGTGACATTGAAAGGCAAGTTCTATCGAATAGCCATTCGACCGACGATGCTTTATGGATCTGAATGTTGGGCTACTAAATATGAAATTGATCAAAAAATGCGAGTGATGGAGACAATAATGTTGAGATAGATGTGTGGGCATACTAGATTAAGATAATATTAGCAATGAAAGTAGTGTCTATAAAAGGAGAGAATAATGATTTGGGCATGTGCATAGGAAAGACTTCGAGGCTCTGGTGAGAAGGGTAGAATCATTAAAATTAAAAGGGAGATGGGTGGACCTAAGAAAACTTTAAAGGAAACAATAAAAAATGATTTAAAGTATTTAAATTTGAATACAGATATGTGTTTTCGTCGAGCACAATGGCGATATGCAATCCATATTGCCGATCCCACTTAGTGGGAACTGTTTGTTGTTGTATATATATATATGTGTGTGAATATATATCAATTCCCCTTATCTTTTTACTATAAGATAAATGCTCACTTGTTTCATTCCTTGAACAAAATCCAAATAGGGAAAGAAACTGGAAAAGTAGATTAAATCTAAATGGAGAGCTAAAAATATAACTGAAAATTTAGAGAGAAAAAAAAAATGAGAAAACTAAAAGGAACTATAAAACTGAAAGAAGACAACAAACCATTTCTTCTTTGAACTCCCAAATGAAGAATCCTATAATAATAATAATAATAATAATAATAATAATAATAATAATAATAATAATAATAATAATAATAATAATAATATTTTGCCAAATCAGATTTTCTTATATCCCTAATTGCAGGTATGTCGCACCCGAATACGCAATGACGGGACATTTGCTCGTCAAGAGCGATGTCTACAGCTACGGGGTCATCCTGCTGGAGCTGCTCACTGGGCGGAAGCCTGTCGACATGTCCCAGTCCCCAGGCCAGGAGAACCTCGTCACATGGGCCCGGCCCCTCCTTGCCAACCGCGAGGGCCTCGAGCAGCTGGCGGACCCCACCCTTGCAGGAACCTACAATTTCGACGACATGGCCAAGGTGGCCGCCATTGCTGCCATGTGCGTTCACCCGGAGGTCACCCACCGCCCCTTCATGGGCGAAGTCGTCCAAGCCCTCAAGCTCATTTACAACGACACGGATGGGACTTGTGCCGATGCCTTGAGCCTCAAGGAGGACTCATCCACGCATGGCTCGGATCTTAAGCCCGACTTTACGGCCCAGTCGGATAACAGTTGGTGGAACGACCGATGTGGGACCCCTGGCCCGAGGCTCGGCAGGGCCACGTCTTTTGTCACGATGGAATACAACTCGGGTCCTCTGGGGGAGATGGGAAACAGGCCGCTTTCCTCTTCTGGCTTAGCTCGGAACAGGTCAGGCCCGCTGAGGACGGTGAGGAGGGAAAGGCCTTTTAGGCTGCAAGGGAGCGTTAGCGAGCATGGGGAGATTTTGGGGAGGTGCTCTTGGGATGTTGGTGCTGGTTACGATGCTTCGTTTTAGGTTATGTGTTGTGTGTTTTGTACGTTTTCGAAGTGTACAGTTGTGGACTGTTGGTGTTGAGATGAGTGGGATTTTTCGGGTGTAGTATTTTAGGGTGTTTTTGAGGTGTGTTCAGTGCCGATTTTCCTTGTGCCGAGGGGAAGAGGAGAAAGGTGGTGGGGATGGATTAATGGCTTCTAATTCTTGTTAATGTTGAGATTCATTTAACATGTAAAGCACGGGCTTGGTTAATTTGGAGTGTGTGTGACTGTTGTATATGCCAATGAATTGGTTTTAAAGGAGTTCGAGGGTTTTGACATGAAACTGCTCTTGTTTTGTCTCAAGCGGTATGTTTAATATCTATCATGCTGCTCTAAAACCACAAGTAACTTATTTGACTCAAAAGACATATTTTGCATATACTGTATATGATGTTATTCTGTTCAAATTCCAGCCAGGTCAAGTATAAAAGCTTTCGGAGCCCTAACGGTCTTCCTCAACTCACGGATCGTCGCCCGGTCTCCTTCATATGCTGTATATTAGTTAAATGTTGGGTTGATATGAAATCTTGGATCAGTTAAGTGTGTTTTCTGGGCCACAATATTGGTATATTAATTTGTATTCAAGCAGGTTTTGCAGAAGGCATTAAGTACTGCAAAATGTTGTAATACAAAAACAGAAGGCATTAAGTACTGCAAAAGCCAAAGGAGCTCCATTTCCAGATTGCACAACTGGATATTCAATGGATAACAAGTACAACATATGCTCCCATCAGTACAACCCCAAATTAACAACACAACCATCCCTAAAAACTAAGACACCAATCACTTGAGCTTTTCCTTGCCAAATACCACAGCAACCTACGACATATATTAAAAACTACAACAACAAAAGACTTCTGCAGCTAAGCCCACAACCAAATCAAAACGCAAACCACTACCAAACGTGCCCGATTTCCTAAACCCTACAACATGCTATCAGCATTCGTCGGCAACCTCTTGAAGAAATTAACCGCGCTCGACGGCATCCGATTCCTAAACTTAGGCGGCCTCAGATAGTACAACCCTCCCAAAGCCACCACCCACCTGACCGGCACCAAGTAGAACCCGAAAGCCGCCACCAAACAAACCACCACGAACAAGAACGTCGCCCTCGGGTCCCTCCAGCTCAGCAGCGCCTGGAATCTCTCCCCCTGCGTCGCCAAGTCACCCACCACCGTCTGAATCCTCCCCGCCACACTCCTCAGCCGATCATACCTCATCCTCACCACCTCCGCCCCACGGCTCGTCGGGAACGAGTCGAACTCCTCGTCCAGCTCGTCCGGGTGCACCCCTTCCGCATACGACAGCCGCGTGTCCATGTGTGGCGGGCTGCGGGCCCGCAGCCTATACCTCCAAAGCCCAACAGCAGCCGTCGACAGCAGCCCGCACGGGATTATGAGCTCCGGGACCAAAACAAGTACCGCGTAGGCCAATACAAACAAGGCCGAGTAAACGGGCCGGGCCCACGTCCTCAAACCCTCGACTATCCGGCCAACAGCCACGACCCACGCCAGGACGCTAGTGAGCCGGAGGAAATTAGCCTTGCTCTTTCGCATGCTCCACATGTGTGAATCGTGGTCGAGCATGTACTCGACCACCTCCCGTCCCAGGGGCGGCTCAGACCTGCCGAGCCTCGAGGCCACCACGCTCGTGGCCTGGTACCGCAGGCTGTCCAGCTGGCTCACGGACAGCGGCTGCACGTAGTGCATCTTCGGGAGGAGGGGTGTGGTGTAGGTGTGGAGCACGTTGAAGAGGTTGGCGCAGGAAAAACGGACCGCCAGGTGGAGCTCCCCCATTTTCTTCACGCCCGACGGGTGCAGCATCAGCAGTGGGTACGCGTGGGTGTACACGCGGTCTGTCTCGAGAGTCGAGAGGCGGATGCGGACCTTCCCGATGCGTGTGTCCCGGGTATTGTTTCCAGCCACGGAGTAGTTCTTGTCGACACGCGAGTTGTCGAAGAGGCCAATGGAGATGACGGTGCACGGGTCGAACACCTCCCAAGTGTACTGTTCGTTCCACCTCGGAGCCAGGCTGTCGACCACGGTGCGGGTACGGACCCACTTCTGCCCGTACTTGGCGACACAGTAAGCATCGGTCGAGCCTCCCTTGCCTTCTTTAATCTTCATGGGTACGAGATTGGTTGCCCCCAATATGCCGACTTCAAGAACCCCAATGTGTGGCTTCCAGAGCTGTTTCGCCGTGGGCCGAACGTCGCTACTGTACATGGTGGCCTCGTCGAGCACGTGATACCCTCCTTCTAAAGAGGCACGAATGTGAATCCGGGAAGCAAATCTAGCCACGGACTTGGGGTCGTTAGGGTTCCGGAGGTGTGTGTCGAGGTTGAACCACCTAGAGACCACGAATTTATCATCAAACCGCCTCTCGACATTGGCAATCGGGAGAATCACCCGACCTACGGTCTCATCGCTGCTAGGAGCCAAACGATCCTCAACCGAGATCAGCAAGTAGTCCTCGAAAGGCTCGGCCACCACAAACATCAAATCCTCGTTCCAAAATGGGTTCGAAACCCCCCGACTGCCAGCTGGCGAGGCTATCCTTGTCCTTAAAACCTGATTCCCCACTTGAACCTTTGCAAAAAGCTCTGGATACCTTACCATGTTCATGGACGACCCTTTGTCTCCCAAGACCACATCTTGGGCCTCGATAACCCCAACCCTCAAATACCAGAGCTTAGGAGACAGGTAAACTTTCGACTTTATCGAGCAGAGGCCATCCAAATGCACGTTTGCCGCCTTCGAATGCCAGGCCTCGGCAAAGGCCTCGTCGGCTTGGGTTCCGAACCATATGGAGACCATGACCTCCCCGGATTTGGACCGGTCGCCCTTGCGGTCCTCCATACGGTACCACTGGGGCGCCAGCTGGCTGTCAGGCGGGGCCCGTTTGGGGACCTCGTTGAGGTCGAACCAGACGCGGCCAAGGAACTCCTCCTTGCTGCTTTCCCTCACAAAAACCTCGACGACAGACGACTGGATGCAGTCCTTGGAGAAGGCGAAGACCTGGTCCCACTCGGAGCTGCCCAGCGAGACCCGTTTGGTGATGCCCTTGTAGTTGCCGAGCTTGACCTCCGCCACCACCTCGCCGCCGCCGAACACAGGGAGCTCCCGGGCCTTGACGAGCCTGACGTAGAGGTACTGCATCTGCTCCACCAGGTCGTAGGTGGAGCTCGCCTTGTCCCGGGTCGACCCGCCCAGGTGCGGGCTCGTCTCCTTTAGCGCGTAGTCGTTGGAGATCCCTACCCGGACGCCGCCGCCTCCGCCGTGGTAGCCCCCGGCAGGGGAAGGGACCACCGGCCCCGGCACGGCGGCGATGACAACGGGCTTCATGTTACCCGGGCCGGGCTCCACGGGCTTTGTGTGTGCCTGGGTCATGAAGCCCGGGCCCGATTTGCCGGGATCGGGCCCAGACAGCTTGGGGACCACCAACCCCTTCCCGCCCTGCTGGAGCTGCTGCTGCTGCATCTTTTTGTTCTTCTTGCCGGAGGGGGCTGCGGCGTCGTTGCCGGCGGACTGCTTGACCTCCTCGGTGGTGGATATGTAGAGCTTGATGCTGATCTCGCCGCGAACGTGGGAGAAGAGGCTGCGCTTGTCGAGGGTGTAGAGCTGGGCTACCTCCTCGCCCTGGCGGGCTGCGGCGGCGCCGGAGATTCGGACCTTGCCGAGGAAATTGCGGCTGTTGTTGGAGCGGCGCTCGTTGAAGACATTGACCTCGAGGGTGCGGTAAGGGAGGTCGGCGGCGTCGGCGAGGTGGAAGACGAGCTTCTCGTTCCATACTGGGTTGAGGTCGCGGTGCTTCACCTGGGTCCTCTGCCGCTGGTTCTCGAACTCAACCTCCACGAACGCCGACGACGACCCCTCGCCGTCCTTCGGCATAAGGTTGTGCGCCGCCACCACCTCCACCACCAGCTTCTCTTTACCGCCGTTGTGCATGGTTGGCACCTTTTTTTCTTTTATTTTCACAATTTTTTTTATTTATTTGAAATGAGAGGGCTTTGTGGTGAGGAAGAATGGTGGAGAAAAAATGGGGATGAAGGAAGCTTAACAGAGAAAACTTTTATGGGGTTTCGTGTTTTTGAGCAGTAAAAAAGCAAGCAAAAAAACACAGCACAGCAGCTGATGAGTTGCCTTTGTGTGGGTTGGCGGTTGTGCCCAATCGCTCTTTTGTTTGTTTTGTTTATTTATTATTATTATTTGTTCGGAAAAAATAAATATATTTTGTGGTTTTGTGAGAAGTGACATTTATTTAATGTGGATTTATAGATTTTTCTGTGGGGGTCTATTAGTCTATACATGGGTAGTGTTTGTTATCTTTTTATGGTATTTCATTAACTATTGCTACAATAACGTTGGGATTTTTTGAATGGAATTTATATTTTTTTTCCATGTTTATATTCAAAGATGGTGAGAATTATAATCAAATCGAGGGTATTTAAGTGAAATTGGTGAGATTATGAGGATAAGCCATGTAAAGTAATAGATTCAAAAAAATTCTGAATTTGTAATTTTATTTAATATGAAATGTTAGAAAAACAAAATGTGGTAAGTCAGAGTGATAGTTATAGAAAAAAAATTCTCCTCTTTTCTCCTGATCGCTAAAACCCTAAAGACGGCGTCGCTACTCTAATCCTCCATCGTTCGGCCTTCCTCAGCGACGGTGGACTCGGGCCTGCGGTCGGCCTCAACTGTTCGGCCCATCCCGGATGTCGTTTAGTCTCTGATGCAGCCGAAGACTGATGGATCGACGCGGCTCTCCCACTGTCGATTATGCTTTTTCAGGTGAAGTCTTGTGGGCTGGTCGTCGGATTTTGTGGTCAACGGTGGCGTCGGGAGGGACGAGGGTCTGTGGATGGGTCGAGGCTCTGGTGGTTGCGACTAATTTGTTGTGGCGGTCAGAGCTTGGGACTTTGCATCTCCAACTCGAAATTTGTGACTGCAATCGCCTCTGGCTTCTGGGGCCGCCTTTGAGGTATGCTTCCGTCTTTTGGATGTGTTGGGTTGAGATTGGGGTTCCTGGGATCCTATTGGGGCTTCGGCTTTTCGACGGGATATTCGGGCTCTGGTTGCCGGTGGGTTTGTGGTTATGATGGGCGGAGTTGTGTAGCTATGGGTGGGGTGCTGCTCTGGATGCCAAGTTGTTTTCAATGTTGGGGAGGCCGACGTCGAGTGGCCAAACCACCCTCATCGTTCTCCGTTCGGCTAGTGGTGTTAGGCGGCGGGGAATCGGTTCCTCTCGAGGTCGACTAGTGGTGTTAGACGGGTTTGGTTGGAGCTGGTGTGGGGACTAGTTTCGTTTTTGTTCCTCCAATTGTTGACGGGTCAGTTTTCAGAGTTTAGTTCGTGTTCGGGTTCTGCTTTTTGTATAGGTCTTGTGGCAGTTTCGGAAGTGGTTCCCTGTACTTGGATTATTCTTTGATATCGATTGTTCTTTGTTAGTTTGGTCTGGTTGATTTGTTGTGGAAGGGTTTCTTTTTTCTCTTTTGTTTTTGTGTTAGTTGTTTTATGTGGTAGTTTTGTGTTTTGGTGTGTGAACTTTGCTTGTGTGCTTATGTTCTGGGCCAGTTTTTGTCTTGTGTTGGCCGTTGGCCCCTGTGAGCTCAAGTGTGAATTTATTATCTTGTTGGGATCCCACACTCAGGCATTACCCTGTTGGGGTCGTTTAATTTCTTTCTCCTTTTGGGAGCTTTTAGTGTAGGTTGTGTTTTTCAGCTAGTGGCTGTTCTTTTGCACATTTGTGCGCTTTTATAAATGCCTATGTCGTTTTGGAAAAAAAATGGCAGAGTGATAATTTTAATAAAAAAAAAAAAAAAGAATATATGGTATGCGATCCTAACATCATTCTTTTGTATTATTTTTGTAGAAATGACTACAATTATGTTATGTGATTATTTTGTCAGTGTTTTTAATTGTTCTAGCAAGGACCAACACTACAACACTAACTTTAAACAACAACAAGCTTCCAACAAGGAGAATGACCAATCCAAATGATAATACCCACTCACATTCGGGCTCACAGAGACTAAGAGCATGTTTGTTTATGAATCTTTTTGAGTTTTTTGGAATTTTTGGTTTCATTTAGTTAATTTTGAAAAAGTTGTATGGTTAGTTGTTAGTGGATTTATTAAATTAATATTTAAAATAAAATGATTAAAATTAAATTGATGTAAAAGTAGGAGAGAGAAGATGTGATGTGATGGTTAGTTAAAATTATGTGAGTAGATGAATAGTGAATTAAGGTTGATGTAGTGTGTATGAATGATTGATTGATATTATTTGATTATATTGATAATATTGATAATAGTGGTGTTGAGTTAAAGTTGAATTAAAAAAAGTGACTCAGTTAAAGTGTTGGAAATTTTTTGAAATTTTTTATAAACAAACATGTTCTAACTGCTCAAACCAAAAAACCAAGTCCTAAACAACAACGAACAGAACAAAATGAACAAAAACTAACAAAAACCAAAACGATAAAAATAAATTCCTTCCCCAAGAGTAATCCAATCCCCGAACTAAGCACCAGTGGACACACAGTCGACCCCACGGAATAATTCTCTGCCCGAAGAACCAATCCTGAAATTGCCGGAACCACCTAACTGAAGTGAACCTGAGCCACGATATTTAGAGTGAGATTTCTTAATTAAGGTTTAAGAATTTTTAATATTTTCAGATTTTAGAGGAATCATACGAAATCTTAGGTGTCAAGGGGATATTTAGAGTGAGATTTCACATAATTTTTACTTTTGAAATTTCAACAAGTTTTTAAAAGTATTAACAAATTATAGTCTCAGAAAAATTAAAATTGTTTAAAAATTATGTAAGACTTTTTAAAATCTCAAACGAATACCCAATATTTGTAAGAGTGTTAAGAAGTCTTAAAAAATATAAATTAAATACCCAAAATTCTTAAAGTCTTAAAAAAAATTTAAAAAACCTAATGGAATATAGACATGGCCACGGGCGGCCCGACCCGTGACCCGGTACCGGCCCGGCCTGGCCCGGTACCGGTACCAGCATGAATAGTGCCGGGTTCGAGAACCGGACCGCGGCCAATCCGGTATGGTTAAGGGTCACGGTTTTTTTTTTTTTGTCCCGACGGGCCGGGCCGGGCCGGGCCATTTTTTTTTTTTTTTTTTTTTTTTTTAAGGGCCGTACTGGCCCGTGAACCGCCGGGCCGGTGAATCGGCGGTTCGGGCCGGTTATATGAACCGGCCCTTCATTCCTAGCGGGCCGATCGCGGTTCGGCTGTTTGAGGACCCGTGGCCCGGCGGGCCGGGCCGGGCCGGACCCAGACCCGGCACCTGGCCACGTCTAATGGAATACATCCCATTATCTAATTGTTTGAGGTGGATGAAAGGTTTGACATTCAACACAAAACCTTTTTAAGTTAATTATTTGAAACATAATGTTTTAAAATTGTCTTTTAGATTTAATGTTAAGTATCAAACAATCATAATAAACTAATCAAATTTGCAAATGTGTGATTATGAACTTTTTATCCATAACATCATTCTATTTGTTACAATAATGAGTAAATCTAGTAAATATGATAATGCTATTCAAAAATCAAAGTAACAAATTAACAAGTTATGTAGTGACAATAAGCTTAATTTGTTATTCCCCATATATATTCATTTTTTATTGAATGTATGTATTAAATTAATTTGTTGTTGTGTATTTGGATAAAAAGGAAAATGGAGCCGTAGCTTTTGACTAGAAAACAGGTCAAAATGAAGTCTACCGCCTTATTTCTACCGCCTTATTTGGGAGAAAAGCCCAATGCCTTACCCGTGAAGCAGGGAAGGGACGCTTATGATATTCACGCTCCAAATGAGCGCGTGATGAGGTTTCATGAAAGAAGCGCTTGGGGCAGTGGCGCGTGTGACAGAATCAGCAGAGATTCCCATAAGAATTTAAGCAAGAACAAGGAAAAGTGGACTCTCGCTCCTCCGTGCTAGTATCGTGCGCCCTGACAATAACAAAGTGTGTCAAAACAATTTAAAACGAAGTTACGTAATAAAATGAACATATGTTCATCTTGTTATGTAAAATGTTCATTTTAAAAATGTCTTGGCACACCTTGCTAGATATTTCAAGGCGCAGCTAAATATTTGCGCTTGCTGGTCCTTTTAAGTCTCTCTAATTTTTTTTTTTGGTCCATTTTCTTTTATTAAGTTAAAAATTTACTTTCTTTTTTTCCCAAATTACGTTGGATATTGTGATATCGACAGCAAGCACGCCAGAAATGCAACAAACAACACAAATGCACAATTTTGGAAATTGAAGCTTAATTAAGAATAAAAAGTTTGAATTGTTTTTTTCCTATTTCGTTGGGTCTTTGAAATCTTATGCTTAAACTATCTAATGCTTGGATACAAATATATATATATATATATAAAAAAAAAAGTTTAAAGTTTTTTTTTACCAATTCCTTATATAACTCAAATTTAATTTCATTTTAACTCAATTCTACTATCCTCAATATCCTCCCTATATATAATTACAGAATGCGCTGAGCCTACGTGGCTGCTTCTGGTGCTTCGTAATCCTATTTGGCGAAGAATAATGTTTCGTAATTAGGTTTGGATAAATAATATTAATATATTAATAATTAATAATATAGGTTCGGGTATTCCATAAATATTATTTAGCTAATTTAGGTATTTTAATATCACTTTTATTAATATAACCCTTTAATTCTTTGTAATTTTACATAGTGGGACACTAAGTGACTAATATATCCCTGAATTTTGATTTGTTTCCTTAAAAAAGCTATTGAATTATAAATGTATTTTAAAAGTTGATAACTTTTGTATTTCTTATCGGTTTTACATATATAATATATCAAATTAATAATCTTTTGATGATCTTCGATTTGACATCCATATTGTATATATATGAAATAAATAAATTATATGTATCTTTATAATAATAAA